CCCCCATTTTCTTAATGCATTCTTCAGTTGATGTACATCTGGGCTGTTTCTAGGTTCTGGCTATTACGAATAACACTGCTATCAATATAGTTGACCAAGTGTCCCTATGGTAGAGTGGGACATCTTTTGGGTAGATGCCCAGGAATGGGATAGCTGTGTCTTAAGGTAGAACTATTCCAGTTTTCTGAGAAACCAAGGCCATACCTCTTAATGGAGCTACTCCCTATGAGCCAAGCATTCAAACACATTAGTCTATGGAGGCCATGCCTATATGAACCACAACACTAGTCCATCCTCCTAGGACTCCTAGACATGAAGTGGTTATGAGAACATGCCACTAAGAGGTAGTCAAGGTACAGCATCTAAGCTCAAAAAGACTCATTGTCTAAGGCAAGTCTCCTCACAGGTTTCCATCCATTGTGCTTTACACCTTGGAAATACAACCCAACAAGACACATTTGTCCCTCTAAAAGCAAATGCATGGAACATTTTATATTTAAATAAAGAAGGGTAAGTAGATGTTTGCCCAATTTAGAAGACATGGGAGTTTATTCACAGCACCTGGGCATAGTCATATTTAAAGACTTATCAGGAACTAAAGGTTCTGGGTAGGAGGAACTAAAGATCACCCTTCATCCCTAGCTTGTCCCTAATATTTGACAGGAAATGCTTCCCTGGCAGAGAATTTGTCTTTCTAGTGAGAATATAATGAGCAATCTCATAGAAGGAAGAGTGTTGTTTTAAGAAAAAAAAAAAGAAAAAAAAAAGAAAAAATATCCCAACTATTTGATTTTACCAATGAGGACTCAGAAGCTAAACACAGTGGTAAAAGCCTGCTAGCTTAGAAAGGCAGAGAAAGCACTCAGCTGACCTTCCTACTTCACCATTGGCCCAGAAGGAAAAAGCTCCTTCCCTCTCTTCACACTGTCTTAAATAACTTTTAACTCAGTGACCATCCTTTCTCTTTAGTTATGTTCACTCACTGTCAGCAGTTTGCTTGTTCTGCCTCTTGATAGAAGGTTGATTTTATTTCCCAGGTTGCAATTTTGGGGATGACAATGTGATCAAATATCCTACAATAAAAGAAGAAATGGGAAGGAGGCTGTTTTAAACCCGTTCCTGGCTGTTTTCTCTAGAACACTCTCCCAGTGTTCTAGAGAAATCAACTGGCAAAGATCATAACCAGTCATTTAAGGGGCAGCACCTTGCTTCCCTGCAAACACAGCTGCTTGCCCATAAAAGTTCTTGCCTAGTAGGTAATACCTCTTGCCAATTTTACTCTGTGTTCTTGAGGCATTTCTAACAGAAGTCTTAATTTTTAATCTAGTACTGAATGGGAATCTGCTTTCTGTAGTCCTGAGTTAGAAGAGAAAACTGTATTATGCTGATGTGAGACTGGTCTATGATCACCAAAATCTCCTGATTTCTACTTTGTTTTTGTTTAATTCGGAATTTTATGAAACTGCATAACATATGGCCATTTTCATGGAAGAGTGTAATGTACTTCAGTCTTAAAGAACACGCAATCGTGACTTTAATTACTAACAAGGTAGGTAGAATGGGCGTTCCAAGTTAAATAACCCTCCCTAATGATGGACCAGTATGACTCCATCTTCAAATTCAAAGCCATTTCTTCATAAGGTCAAAATAAGCTTGTTCTTATTTGACCATGTCTTGACTCATTTTCTGGAATTTGACTTATTCCACATCCCATATGTTGCTCTCTACCCTGATAAAATGTCTCTCAGATAATCTTGAGACATCCTACCAAGTTTTGATGTAACAAAAACTCTTGGAACCTGCCCCTGCCCATGCAGTTTTGGGGGGCAATATCAATTTCACTTTCCCCTATGCTCAATGCTATGTTTGCAAACCCTGCTTTAGGGGGATTATCCTATATGACAGAAAGTAAAGCTTGCCTAATTTAGATAATGGTCCTTACTCCTCTTTGGTGGAATTAGCACCCAAATCCAGACTCCATTCCCCGGGATATCTAGGAGATCAGTCTGTGAAGTAGACATTTGACTCCTTGTGTCCAAGGTACCTATTTAAGTTAGGATACCTGAGTCCAATTTAGTTCAGGATGTGTTTAAAGTTCACTTAGGGGACAAGGGGGTGGGTAGGTAGGGAATTGAGCTTTTACTCCCCTTGGGACCTTCTCTTTGTTGCCACAATCCTACAAGACTTCTACAAGGATAGTGTAGCAGGTTCAGTCTTAGCATGACCATGGCTCAGTGACCAGACTGGAAGAGTCCTGAGTTTAACTGTCCCGGATCCAACCAATCAGTCCTAGTCACTAGGGTGGTTGTCTAACTGACCTGAAGATACTCAAGCAATATCTTAGCCAAACAACTTCTTCTAACTGACTCTAACACAACATTCTTACAGGTCAAGTATTCACAGTGACAAAGTAATGAAACACGGATCAGATTTGTTTATTATAGATTTCATCTCCATGGGATTCAAACTTAAAATATTCTACATGTTTAAATTTCATCTGAGTGAAATTTTGCAATGTCACAAACCAATCAAGTCTTATTTAAAGAGTGCTGACTTGTGAGTTTCAAAGTAATTCCCATTAGAAGTTGCTGCCAAATTATTGTTTTTTGTCAAATCTGTATTTGAAACAGAAGTTCTGCAAGAATGTTTTGTTTTGTTTTGTTTTTATCCTTAATGAAGAGTTGTAGAACTCTACTCAAAGGTCTGTTCTTTACAAAAGAAATTAAGGAAGGCTGTCATTCTCTTTGTAAATCCAAGATATATTATCTGAGTCTTCCCATCTCTGTGGATCCAGATGATGTAAAACAAAGGAAAATGTTAAAAATTCAAACAAAAAGATGTTGGACAGTATTTCTTTACAGTGTTTATTTTATTTCCTACACAGACATCCTGAAAAATAAAGTTCAAAGAACAAAGTCAAAGACCATAAGAGATGATACTTAAGTGTTGTCTTCACTCTGACATCTGTGTGATCGTTCTCTAGCTTGGTGCATAACTTACCTCACAGGTTAGATCTTACCGGGGGGAAAAAAGATCCACTAAACTTCCTGGGAATACTGAAAAGGTAAAACTGCAACTCATAGTCCAACAAAGTACAAAAAGAGTATCTTGGAATCACACAGGATGTGGACCATGCTTGAGCACTAGTCCTCACATTCTCAGAATGCTGTAGAGAACACAGTTGGCACTGGAGGGAAAAGGGTGGGATGCAGAGTGAGAGCTACTAACTTCCCAGGCATTGTCTTGTACAAGTGAAATACCAGGAGAAAGCTCATAGCTGACTCTCCCAGGACCTGAGCATTGTTTTACAGAGCTGCTTCCTTTTATGCTCCAGGAAGGCCTGTCATTCAGGTTCCTTCTGTCCTTCCTCCTGTCTTTCTTTTCTTCTTTCCTTCCTTATTCCTTTGCCTCACAAAATATTCCAGTCTGTCCCAGAAGGAGCTGTGTAAATCAGGCTGATCTGGAACTCACAGGGCTCCACCTGCCTGAGTGAACATGCCTAGCTCAGATCCATGTACTACAGAGGCTAGACTTAGTGGAAGACCAACAGTTGAAATAAGGATTAGAAACTACAAAGCTCTTCCAAGATTGGAAGTGCATAAAGGCCACACTCTCAAAGCCAGGAGGCTGGGTTTTCTGTGTCTGGACCAGCATTGCCATGATCATTCACTCCAGAGGTTCCTCAAGAGACATCAGTCATCACCTCATGAAATCTCCTGAGGGCAGGAAGCAAGGCATTGACCAAGAGAGCAACTCTTCCCAAGTCTTCCCCATGATGCTGGGGCCCAGACTCTGCTCCTCCTCGGGCATCTGAAGCCTCCACCTTAGACCAGACATTTGGCTCCTTGGCACAAACTGTGCACTCACAGCAAGAGGACTTACATAGCTACCTCGGTTTATAGCAGAGTCTCACAATTTCTCTGTGACAGTTTTTCAGTCTTACTACATTAATACAACAGAGGTTGCTTAAAACTTGAATATCATGAGGCAGAGTCTGCCTCAGGCAGTGGGTTCCCAATTTTTGTTTTGTTTTATTTTGTTTGGGGGGATGGGGTGAAGTGTTTTTAGTCTACCCAGTCTGGGTCGGTCATGGAGCTTGCTGCTCCAGAACTTGCCAAACCCAAGAAGGGAAAGGGATGATAAGGACAAGAAGAAATTATAATTATTTTGTTCTTAAAAACTCAAACCAAACGTTGCCTCCACAAGGTAAGCACTTTCGCAAAAATTTAAAAAGGGAATCAAGGGCTACCATGCTGAGCCTATCCAGAAGCACCTAGAAGGGCCCGCGCTAAGGGAGGGAGCTCTAGGGGACTGCTGTGGAAAGGACTGAGCTCACTGCCCAGCCAGGCCTGGTTCCCCCTGGAGCAGAGGACTCTGGGCAGTGTCCCTCTGACCCCAACCTCTGCCTTTCCCCCCCCACTCCCCCACGCCCCCGCCCCCACCCGCATCTTGCCCTCCTCCTAAGGGGAAGTGTATGCACTAGGCTGAAAAAAAACCTCAACAACTTTCAGGCATAGCCCAAGAGCCACCAGCAGCCATTCCCAGACAGAAATCCAGTGGGAAATCACTGGCCTGGCTCTGCTGCCTTTGCTTCCCAGAACCCCGGGATCAGAACCCCGGGTTTATTTAAACCATTCTGAAAAACCAAAAGTAGACTCTGTTACCCGCCAGATAGAAAAGGGTAGACAACACAACCGGGAACAAAATAAACCGGAAGACACTGAGCTTTCAAATGGAAGCTGCTGGCAAAGATGGAGTTTAAACAGCAACAGCATCAAACTCTGTGAACTCTACTACCAAACATGTAGTCTGGGTGGCTCAATCCTGCCTGATACTGGCTGAGCTAGAGTGCCAGGGCTGCAATTTGCAGCAGACCTCCTCTTGGCTCAGCAGGGTAGATCCCTGGGATGACAGTAAAGCACCTCCATGCCCCACCTGGGTCTAGTGTGTAAATACTGTTTTTAAGCATGAAATAAAGAACAACATGGCCAGGAAACGAATGCAGTTCTCAGTGAGTTTTTATTTTGAAATTGAAGGCATTGAGTAAGCAAGCAGGATTTGCAGGGAGCAGGAGCCCCAGGGAGTCTCTGTTCTCTAAGGCTCCCTGGGGTCCAGGACTGCAGGGCAGGCAGCCAGGTGGGAAGGAGATGAGACTGGGCAGTGAAGCCATTCCAGGAGAGCAGAGAAAACTGGGCATCGCCTCCACTAACTGTGGGCAGCAAGCAGGCTGACCTCTCTGGCCAGTATGCTCTGGGACAGGGGTCTGGGCTTCCTGCTGTGGGGCGCCCTGCTTGGGATCCCAGATCGGGGGGAGGGGGGGCAAGAGGGGAGGGGGCTGCTGCAGCACAAGCTGAGAAGGTCCTCGCGGGGGTTCCTCCTCTCCCAGCACAGCCTCTGGCTTCGGGCTGTCAGGACTGAAGGCAGGAGCCCAGCTGCCAGGCTCCCACTGCACTCTGCTAGAATCCCTTTGCCAGGGTGAGCCCACCCACAGAGCCCTGAGCCAGGCTGGGAAGTGCTTCCTCGAGGGAAATACACTCATCACCTGAGGAGACCTGTCCCAGGGGCAGTAAGCAGGGCATTGACCAAGGCTGCAGCAATTCCGTGGTCGGGACCCCTCTAGGCCTGGGCTCTGCAGCTGCTCTTCTCTGCCAGGCCTCCCGAGCCTCCCCCACCCTCACACACCGGATATTTGGCTCCGAGGCACAAACAGGAGTCCCAATAGGAACATTTACCAAGTAGTAAGGGAGTTCCATCTCGTTGTCTCTCAAGGTTTCTCGATGACAGGTTTTCATTCTTACAAATGGTAAATTGCTCAGCAGTTTCGGTACATTGAGGCAGAGCCGACCGAGGCCAGTCTGCTGCTGTAATATTTTAGTATAGAGTTTCGAGGTAACAGATTTTACTTTGGTAATTATTATTATCATCATTATTATTACTATTACTATTGTTATTTTGATCATCGTCCTCATCATCATCATCAATCTTTCAACCGTAGGAATTATTTTTATTATTACTGTTATCATCATGGTCATGATTATGATCATCATCATCATCTTCTTCATCATCATAATTATGATTATTAGAACCGTAAATTGTTCAGCAGTTTGATTTCAATGAGACAGAGCGAACCGAAGCCGGTCTGCAGTCGTAATATCGTATAATCGAATTTCAATTAAGAGATTTTTGTTCTTACAAATGGTAAATTGCTCAGCAGTTTGGGTTCAGTGACCCAGGGCTCACCGTGGCGGTGTTCTCGGTATCGGTTGTTCAGTTTTCAGTAGTTCCATACAACAGATCTTGCTTTCCAATTTGGATAGAGTAAGGCAGAGCCTGCCTACATACTGGGCTGTTCCTTCTTATAACCACCTAGTTGGGGGTGGGGACTGGGGGTGTTGGGTGGGGCGGCGGGGCGGAGCTCTGCCCTCACTGGCTGCTACAGCATAAGCAGGCTGTGGAAAAGGCAAATAGCAAACTTACTTTCAAAATCGGTTTTTTCAGAACGGCTTCTTTAAACCGGTTTAAAATCGGTTTCAGCTCCTTATTTCTCAAGTTTCCTCACTGACAATTTTTTACTCTTACAAAAGGGAAATTGCTCAGCAGTTTCGGTACAATGAGGCAGAGTAGACTGAGTCCAGTCTGCTGCTGTAGTATCTTATTACAGAGGTTCTCCGTGATGGTTTTTCAGTCTTAGGTAGTTCAATACAACAAAGCTTGATTCCCAGTTAGGACAGAGTGAAGCAGAGTCTGTCTCACCAACTGGACTGTACCTTTTCATAGCCACCTAGCTAGGTGAGGAGCTCTGCCCTCAAAGGCACAGTCCAGCAGGCTGTGGGGAAGGCAGATAGTAAACTTTCATTAAAAACGGATTTTAAACCGGTTTAAATTAAACCGATCTTAAAACTATTTATGTTCATTTGCTGTATCACTTAGTCATTTCTTCAGCCTACTCCATCATTCCCTGTACATTTCTTTCATTACATTTGATGATATTAGAATCCATTGCATTAAGTTAAATTACATAAAGTTAAAACTGTTATATTGAATTATTATTAATTATTAAATTGCATTAATTTAGCTTATTTCCATCCCTTTCATGTCTTTGCTTTGTCATTTCACATCCTATCCGTCCATGTTCCTAGATCTCACTTCGTATCGTCTCCTTGTTTTCTTCTTTCACTTCACTTAACTACATCACAGTACTTTTGATTACAAAATGTTGTATTTCATTTAGACTCATTTCATGATTGTAATTCCATGTCCTAGTCGTTCCTCCTTCCTTTCACTTCCTTTTCTATATAACAGCACAAACAGGAAGATATCCAAGAGAACCCTTAAACACGTGTTTTAGGAAGCTGAAGTATTGCTCTCCACAACGGATGGCTTCCAAAGGGGTGCAGGAAGGGAAAGACTCAGATCTATGTAAGGTACAGACCAATGAGACTCTGACCACACTCTGGTGAATATATAGATAACACAAATTGGACTTTGTCTGGCTGTTTCTTTCTTTTTATTGGGTTTTTGGTTTATTTGTTTGTTTTGTTAGGGTGGTCACAAGGGCAAGGGAAGGGGCAGCCATGGAAGGACTGGGAAGTTAGTGTGATTGGGGTGTATGACATTGAAACTCCCAAAGAATTAATAAAAATACTATGTTGAAAAGACAGGAAAGCTCATGGAAATCTGCTCTGAGTTATGGGAGCTATTGCCTTGAAAATAATAGGCACAAATGGGGACCACTTAGTGTTGCGTGACAGTGTTAAAAACCATAAACAGAAGCAGAAACCAGCCAGAGACTTATGCAAGTTACAGCGCTCAAAACTGTAATTGTGCACAGAAACTGGCCACATCCTTCAGCAGCAGAGATATAGAGTTAAAACCCATGAGCATGTGTAGAGACAGGCCACATTGTGGGAGTTACAGTGTTAAAATAAGTGAACAAAACCAAACCAAACAACAATAACAAAAAAACACCTCAAAAGTAGCATGGGAGTAATAGTGTCAAAAACCAAACAACTCAAATAAAAACTGGCTACAGTGTGGTTTGAGTTGTATCATTAACCACCCCCCAACCTGAAAGACAACTGAAACCCACTCTGAGTATTTTGCATTAAAAAAAAAACTCTAAGTGCAGCAGAAGACAGATACAGTGCCTTGCAACATATAATGTTAAAATATATAAACAGGATAAAGTTTAGGTTGAAAGCGGGGAGGTTGGTGTCTGGATCACTCCACTGGGGTTTCTGCCTGGCTACAAGAGGTAGCCTCTTCATGTTCCATATCCCCAGTGTGCAGCCTGGTCTTCCTGTGGGTCCCAAGCAACTGGAACACAGGCTATCCCAAAAGCTATTGCCTACATGTAGAATATGTTCTTCTATCTGGGCTGCCTTGTCTGGCCTCAGTGGGAGAGGAAGTGAATAGCCTCACCCAGACTTGAAGTACCAGGGTCGGGGAAAAACAAGGGAACCCCCAACCTGCTCAGAGGAGAAGGGGTAGGTGGGAAGGGGAAGGATTGTAGGAGGGGGTGATCAGAAGGGGGCAATAAGTGGGATATAAAGTGAATAAGTGAAAAAATATTTTAAAAATACATAAATGTAGAAAAGTACATCTACAAGAATAGAAACCGGCCAGAGAGGTGTGTAAGTTATAGCTCTAAGAACAGGTAAAGCATGTTGAAATCGGCTATAATATTACACAAGTTATTGCACACAAGACATCAAGCGTGCCTAGAACCTGGCTACTGTGCTTTGTGAGTCATAATGTTAGCAACTTCAAACCCATGTAGAAACCAGCTTCAGCATTGAAAACTGAAAGTAGGATGGCAGCCCTGATGAGAGAGAGCTGAAAAACCTCACTTGTGGAAGGGACAAAAGTAAGCCAGTCTGAACTGACGAAAAAGCCCACCTTCCATTAGAAAGGAACTAATGTGCCTACTGCAAGGGAAAAGGCCATTGGAAGCATGAGTGTCCTAAGAAGAATCAGACCAAGCCAAAGGCTCAGAAGTTGGAAGTACTGGACAACTGAGGATGTCAGGGCCCAACCCCATTCCATGAGATCTGGATAGCCCTAAAGGTGGAGCAGGAGACCATTGACTTTCTGGTGGACACAGGGTTACAACATTCTGTTTTGATACAACTGCTGGGGCCACTGTCAAATCAAAAAACATCGGTGCAAGGGACAACTGCCACTAAGCTGTATCCATGGACTACCCAAAGAAAGATGGACTTGGGAGTAGGAAGATAGCCCACTCATTTATGATCATCCCTGGATGCCCATACTCCCTGCTGGGAAGAGATCTCTTTACCAAAATGGGAGCCCAAATCCGTTTTGGCCCAGAGGAAGTGGAAGTGCTGGATAAGAATGGCCCCATCCATGTTCTGACCTTGGTCCTAGAAGAAGAATACAAACTGTTGCCTCAGCCAGCCCCTTCTCCAAGCCAGTTACTCCAGGGGTTTCTGGCAGAAGTCCCCAAGGTCTGGGCAGAAAAGAATCCAATGGGACTTGCCCTTCACTGGGTCCTGGTTCTAGTCCAATTAAAGGCTGGGGTCACTTCAGCCTGAATCAGGCTATATCCAATGCCCAGAGAAGCCAGAACATTGGTCACTCTGCACATTAACTGTCTGAGAAGCAGGAATTTTGATTCCTTGTCCATCAGCATGGAACATACCACTCCCACTTCTTCTGGTTAAGAAGTCCCCATTCCAATGACTATTGACCTGTGCAGGATTTAAGGGAGGTAAATAAGTGGGTGGAAGACATCCATCCCACAGTTCCAAACCTGTAAATCCTGCCTCCCTCTCGAGCACACTATGTACCCTGTGCTCTACCTGAAGGATGCCTTCTTCAGCCTGCCTCTGGCACCAAAAAGCCAGCTTCTATTTGCCTTTGAATGGCAAAATTTGGAGAGAGGCCTTAACAGACAGCTGATTTATATATGCCTGCCTTAAGGATTCAAGAACTCCCCCATCTTTGATGAGGGACTGCACAAGGACTTAAGTGAGTACCAGCGAGCCCACCCCTAAATATCCGTGCTCCAGTATGTAGATGTCATCCTGATTATGGCCCCCACCTTGGAGACATGCCAGGAGGCCACACAAGACCTGCTACAGGAGCTGAGTCAATTTGGCTACTGAGTGGATAAACAGGAAGTCTCCCCTTCAAAGATACCCTCATCACTGTGACCTGGTTTGGAGATACACAGACACTCAGAGCTGGGTCCTATATAAGGAAGCATACCCAGCCTCCTAGGAGAGAGACTTGTGGGCCTTGTTTTGAGCACCCTAACAATCTGGGTACTCCTGGGGGAGCCAATTTGACAACCTTGTTTACGGGACCTGTCAAGAAGGCCAATTGGACTGCTGGTAAGACAAGGGGACTAAGACTTTAAATCTATGGCTATGATCTGGAACTCCTCTTTACTGTTCAACTGTTCTAACATAGCCTCGTGAGACCCATGGTCCCCTTAAGCCCCAAAATGGTATTAGCAAGGCCAAACCAACACTTTTCCCTAATCTCTGCCTTAGCCCACCATTGCTCTCTCATCAGGACCCCGCTACCTTTAGCCCCAGTGAGATGTCACTTCATCTAACCAACTGTTCCCTAAAACTGTTCCACCTCCTGCATTAACCACTCCATGGCCTGAGTCAGGACTCCTACAATTACTCCACTTTCCAGGTTCTTAACTCCTTCCACCAGACGTCACACAGGACTGTTGGTTACACTTAAATGCTCAGGCCCCTTACTATGAAGGAATAGCTATCCCTGGAGACTATTCACAGATTACAGATGGTACTCAATGTAGACGGCACCAAGCAGATAGAGGTAAGCTGACCCTACAGTCAATAACAGGACAGAGATTCTGCACTGGAAATAAGGTACCCTCAGCCAATCCCCACCTCACCTCAGTGACTGCACTATAACCCCTACCACCTCAGGATACATGCTTCACCCAGAGAATAGTTGGTCAGCTTGTACCTCAGCGCTTACCTCATGCATTCATGGACTAGTTGTAAATTCAACTGAGAATTTTGGGTTCTAGTACAGCTTGTACCTAGAGTGACTTATTACTTCAGGGAGGATGTTTTCAACCAGTTAGCACCTCCAAATAATCCGGTAAAATAGTAGCCATTTCCTCTGTGTTACTAGGCTCTCTCCTTGGCATAGGGCCGCTAGTGTAGGGGCCTCAGCCCTAATACTCCAAGATAACAATTGCAAGGACCTATGGATGGCTATAGATACAGATATACAGGAGGTGGAAAAGTCCATCATGGCCCTTGGCAGAAGCAGCCTTACAGAACAGAAGAGGCCTAGACTTACTGTTCCTCCAGCAGGGAGGACTCTG